ATGTGTGCATTCCCATGTGATGTGATGTGGTGTGTGTGTGTGTGTGTGTGTGTGTGTGTGTGTGTGTGTGTGTGAACAAGTGCTCATTCACATCATGTAGAAGCCAGAGCAGGACACTTGAGTATTGTCCTCTATTGTTCCATCTGATTGCCTTGAGACAGAACTCTCTCACTGAAACAGAAGCTGGAAACTGTATGTTTGGCTCAGCTGGATGGCCAGGGAGCTTTTGGGATCTGTCTGTCTTGTGCAGCCATGCCTGGCCATATTTGAAAAAAATTATTTTAAAATTTTTTCTTATTATTTTATGTGTTTGGGTGTTTTGCCTGCACATATGTCATGTAAGTTCATGCCCATGAAGACCAGAAAAGGACATGGGATCCCATGGACTGGAGTTATAGATACTTGTGAGCTACCATGTAGGTTTTGGGAATTGAGCCCTAGTTCTCTGGGAGGTAAGCAAGTACTGCAGCCAGTCCTCCACCCCAAAATTTAGAATTGTATTTATTTGTGTGTCTGTGTGTGCTTATGCGTGCATGTCACGGTATGCATGTGGAGATCAGAGAACAACTTGTATAAACAGGTTTCCCCTTTCATCACCTGGTTTGTGGTGATGAAACTCAGGTTGCCTGTCTTGGTGGTTACCTTTGCCTGTGGAGTCATTCTGCGGGTCCTATTTGTATCTTTTTATGTGGGTACTTGGAATTGGAAATCACTGCCAGGTCAGTGTAAAGTGTAAAGATAAGAGTCTTTACAAAGTGTGTATTATGAAGAGATTTTTTTTTAGCCTATGTGTGTAGAATATGTATTTGTGTTGTTGATGTGTGCATGTGTGCATTCCTTTGAGGCAGGGTCTCTCTCTAACCTGAAGTTTTGGTGTCTGGAGCCCCCAGTTTTAAATGGATGCTAGGATCCAAACCCCAGTTGTAATGTTTGTGAAGCAAGCACACTTAGCTCTTTAGACATCACTTAAGCCTCTAAGAAAGGGTGTTGGTATAAATTATATAGGGTATGATGTAGAATAGACAGGAAAGAATTGTACACATGAAGAATGGAGGGTATTGGTTTAAGGCAGTTACTCATTCTTAAACAGAATTATTTTTGTATTGCTGAGATTTCTACATTTCAGATACTAGTCAGTTGTTAGAATTTGTAACTTTTATTTGCCTACTTATCTTGTCTATTCATTATCTTGAAAGGATCTTTGGCAAAACAAACATTTTAAATCATGGTGAAATAAAATTTATCATTTTTTCTTTTGTGGATATTTTTAGAATTATTTCTAAGAATTCTGTTCTCTCCCTCTCTCCATATATTTATGATGTTTGTATGTGTCTGTGTCACACAGTTAGGCAAATGTTCTTCTACTGAACTACATCCCCACCAAGAATTTTTTACTTCATTCACTGCCATGGAATGTTATTATAGCGCATTTGTTTTTTTTTTTTCCCCTTAGCTTATTAACACTGGCCAAGGCTTTCAGTGTTATTTTTTAAAAAAAATCTTAGAGGAGAGCATTGTCTTAGCTGGATATTATTAAATGCATGTCTTTATTATTAAGGAAGTTCTTTAGATTATACTAAAAATTAGTAATGGCTTTCTTCATTGAAAGGATTTTAAAAATTTTTGTTAATATGATGAATCAACTGCTTTTGCTTTCCAAATACTGAACCAGTCTTGTATTTCTAGGATAAGACCTTGGTTATGAACTATCTTTTCTATTTCTGGATACTATTTTCTATTTATTGAATTTTTTTTTGTGATGACAGATAATGGCCATACATTTTATTTCCTTGTGATATCTGTACTGGTTCTCATATTGAGAATTACTGGTCTCTTATAAGTTTTCAAGTATTCTTTCCTTTCCAGTTTCTCCCAAAGGAATGTATAAAATAGTATTTTCTTAAATGTTTTTGTTAGATCATCCCCTTTAATTTCTTTTGCAAAGTTTCTTTTAAATCTAAAAATCACAATTAGAAAGTATTGATTTCTTTTGGATGACTTTAGTAACTTGTTATCTTTCAAAGAATCCACTAAGTGAAGATACTGGTGGGTGCTTGGGTACAGGTTTGCTCCCAGGACTCCCTCATCACTCCTTTTCTGTCTTCTAGGACTTGCGTGATGCTCTTCTCTTTCTTTCATTATTATGCCAATTCACCACTGTCTTTTTTCCTGACTAGCATGACCATAATATTTTCAGTTTGTTGACTTTTAAAGACCAATTCACTTTTGTATTTCATTGATTTCTGTTCTAATCATATTTCTTGCTGTTGAGTAGAATATTATACAAGTATCTATTAGTTTAGTTTCACTGTTTTTCATGTCATCTCTAAATTGATGAAAGAGTATTGTGTGTATGTGGTATGTGTGTATGATATGTGCATGTGATGGCTCACATGTGGAGACCAGAGGACAACTTTGTAGAACCAGTTCTTGCCATCTCTTTATGTGGGCTCCTGGGATTGAACTAATTTCCAGGTGGGAATCACCTTTACCATTGAGCCATTCCAACTACCCAGATTTCATATATATATATATATGTATATATATATATATATATATGTATGTATGTATATGTATATGTATGTATATATATATGTATGTGTATATTTATACATATATATATAACTGTTTTTATTAGTAACTATAGAGAAATGTTGATGTTATTGATTTAAATGATAGTCATTTATTTTTCCTTTTAGGTCTGTCAGTTTTTATTTTACATATTTAGTTTATGCACATTTAGGATTTTGACCATTTCCTATGTGAAAATGATGTACTCTGGTCACAGTCACACCCTATAACCCTCTCTTGTTCCCCTCCCACTTAGACTGGTCTCTTTGCTCTCCCTGGTTAGTCCCCCTTCCATTTTCTGTCCTTTTCCGTTTTTGGTCACACATTTTTAATTAGGATTGTATATATCAGCATGGTGAGGGTTTATTTACAGAAGTATTGCAAGTTATTAGTGACTAAACCTTAAAAAAATATTACCCCTCCCCCAATAACCACTTACTCACAGCCAGCCACCCCTTAGGGAGGGACTGGGCCTCCTGAGCTCCATCATGTAATCTTGGGTGAGTATGCTCTCTTTAGATGAGGCTGAGAGCAAAATACTGCTGGTACTTTCACACAGCCAAATTATAAGTTCTGTGTTTTTAAAAATGTATCTTCAAGGTAGCAAAGTATTTGGGTTTCATTATGGCATCCTCGTGTGTGTGTGTGTGTGTGTGTGTGTGTGTGTGTGTGTGTTGTGTGTGGCTATACTTTTATTCTTATTCAGCACCTCCTCACCCCAGCTGTCCGTCCTCAGCCCCTTGCCCTTGTTCTTGCTGCTTTTCCTTTTCTAGTCTTATGTCTCACGACCTTCTCATTTCCCATAAATCTGTTACTCCTGGTAGAAGGCCTCAATACAACATCACAGAATCAACTACAGAATTCCATAGTTTTCTTTTGGAGTCCATTTTAATGTCATTTTCCCAAGAATCAATCAATTTTGTTCAACTTCTAAAATAATTGATATAAAATTATTCTTTTAAAAATGTGCAGTTTCTGTTGCAATTAATAATGTTTCATATTGTTTTGTGCTCCTCATTATTTCTCTTGGGGATGTTTCCGAGCTGATGACACAAGGGTAGAATCCAGCTTTTGGACAGGTCAGGAGAGAGGGTGCCATCTCATCTTGGAGTACTCTGTTCAATGCACAACATCTCTCCATTTCTGTCCCAGCTTCATTCATTTCCTTTTTGGTCATAGCTGTTGATCACAAGCATTTCTTTGACTATTAACCTGTTTTATGAGCTTAAAAAATAACCAGGAAGTGGAAAGTCAGGCTTCAAGTCACTTACAAGGACTGGTTTACCACCAAGGTCTCTGGGATATGATTTAACATTGGAATTTCCTTTGAAGTAACTTTTAGGTTACTGACAGGAAATGTGTGGTGCTCATCCAAATCAACAGTGCTTTGGCAATGTGTTTCCAGTATTTTCTAAGTGACTAATAACTCTCTCTTAGATTATTTTATGTGCCTGAGCATTTTGTGCACATGTATGTTTATGTGCCGCATTTGTACCTGGTGCCTGTGGAGATCAGAAGAGGGTGTAGGATCCCCTGGAACTGGAATTGTAGATGGCTATGAGGCTCCATGTGGGTGCTGGGAATTGAACCTGGAAGAGCAGCCACATTCTTAACCACGCGCCCTCTCCAGACTGGTCACTTAATCACTTCTCATTCCTCAGGAAGAGCAGTGAAATACAGCCAGTGCAGAGCACACCAGGAAGTGATGGCATCAGAAGGAACGAAAAGAAGCTGCTGCATGTCCCCTGCACCTTCTGTATGCAGACTGCCATTCTTGGGCTCTAGATAATGGTCTTCATGGCAGGTGCTTCTCATTATCCATGTCTGGACTTGTCTGAATGATGAAGAGACCAAAGCTTGACATGGAGTGACTATTAGAAGTCACAAAGTTGGGATGGCCTCTGAGTACAGTTATGTCTGCTCCCTCCAACAGAACATATAAAATTAACAGAAGGAGCTTTGTTGAATCTTAGTGTAATGATACTCTTCTCCACCCTGCCCCCGGGGACAAGGTTTCCCTGTGTAACCCTGGCTGTCCTGGAATTCACAGAGATCCACCTGCCTGTGCTGCCCAAGTGCTGGGATTAAAGGTGTGAGCCACCAACACCTGGTCTCACACATTTAAAAAAAACCTGCGACATCCAATAAATGATAACAAAGTTGTGTTTGGTAATATAGAAATGTTATTGTCACCGAATATATTTTAATTGTCACTAACATTTTATCTATAATACTATTCCTTATAGATTCTGATTCCAAGAGAGTTTTAGAATTCATGTTTACTAAGCTCAGTTATCTTTGTATGGGCTTATCTGTTCTGTGACTCAGAGGTAATAGGCAAGTCACTTCATTGTATTGCTCATCCATAGTGATTTCTACTTATTTACTCTAGAGCTCCAAATTAACTATTCAAATGCTCACCACAGTACTTTCATTCAGGAAGGAATATTTATTAAGAAGATATATTAACATGCTTAGATAGAAAGAAAAATTAACACATGCCCTTCAGTGAACTGTAATGAAGAAAATAACATGAACAAAACTGTCTCAGAGAAATTTATATATTTTACAGCCATAGCATGTCTTAATAATCAGAATATTGTTAGCTGATGATAATTTTATAACATCTCTCCTGACCTCTTGATTTAATAATTTTAAAGTAAATTTTGGCAATGCAAAGTTCACAATATAAAATCTGAGGTCTGACTAGAAGTGAGATAGACTTTCCAAGCTTTTGAGAACAGAAATATGGCACATGCACACCTCCAGATTCTGTCTGTATTAGCTTTCTTTCAAAAGAACAAATGCTTTTCATTGTTGCACAAGGATTAGTATTCAAATACCAATTTTTAGGACACATTTACTCTTAGAGAGTATTATAATTAGTTGAACAAATTATTTTTTATCAAATATGTACCACCAAGAATTTAAGTTTTCCAAAGAATATGTCCTCATGTCTAAGATAACTATCTTATATCATGATAATTATCTATAGTAGTAAAATAATATCACCTAAAATAGCAATAATGACAGCTACTGCTTGATGAACACTTACTGTATGCTTAGGCACTGAGCTAAGCACATCATGTACATCATACAATTTAATGTTCATGATAACTCAAGTGAGCAGGCAAGTTAACCTCATCATATAAACAAAACTGAGGCTTACAGACAGGCTAAGCAATAGCCAAATTCTAATAACTTAAGTTGGAGAGTCAGGTGTCTAAGGCAATCTGCCCAACTGTGATCCAAAGCCAGGCTAATTAGTCTCATTCTGTGCCATTCATGAGAGCTCTGATCTGATGTGATAAATGTTAGTTTAATAACTTTATCTGCCACATATTTGTGAAAATATAGCTTGCATTTTTTGAGATGTGAAGCAAGATCAATTCAGGTGGAACAATGCCTCTGCCCCAGCTCATTTAAATATTTTTATTTACATGTCTTTCCACCTTCATTATTCTAATATTCTAATAAAATTATAAATGCAAATACACAGAGTACATGCAACATATTCCACAAAGGAACAAAAACGTGAATAAAGAACCCCAATTATTACTTACAAAGTGCTTAAAAAACACCCTATGAGATATCCAGGCCATATTTATTTTAGTATTTTCCAATAATTGACAAGGAAGGCATAATTTATAAATATTTCAGATCCATTATTTTTTACTATGAGTCACAATTTGGTATTTCATTAATCAAGTGAGTTCCATTATATATGACTTAAGCAAAGTCACATAGCGTCAAAATGAAACCGATGTGCTTCCTGTCGTTTTTCTCTATCGTCTGCTTTCTGAAAGAGAATTGTAGAGTCATTTTAAGTGCTCAGAAAATATTAAGGTTCATTTCTGAAATATAATTTTTAAAATCTTAAAGAAATTTAGCATGTAATAGGTACGATTTTAAGCACATTAATATAAAGTATTTTTATAGATCTAGTTGCTATTTTATAATTAAGGATATATGACTTCAATTTAAAAATTAAGAAGAAATGTTCCATACACACTTACACTATCATCACTTATTATCTACTTGAAAGTGACAGTAAACATTAGATGCTAGAACAGACAGATCACTACTAACACTCATGTTAAACCAATCTAAACTAATTATATTAAGATGATGACTTTTTAGTTAACCCTATTGATGTAGCAGATATTTATTGGCCATCTTCTCCTAGTCAGATAGAAGGAGTAAACAAAAGACAGTTTTGTATTTCAATCACTTAAGGCCCAGAAAGGATAAAACCAAAACCTACTATGTATCAAATTGACCAGAATTGTATTACTTTGGATTTGAGTGAGAAAGGGCAAACTTTGAACATACTGTTTATGGAGATGGGAAGAGACATTCATTTAAAGCTGGGAGTTAGCATAAGGAAGCATGGCGAGTGTAGAAGGAGGTAGAGCATAGGAAAGTATGTGGAAGACACAGATTAGCAGGGCATATTGTGGAGTGACATACAAGGAGTGTGAGGGCCCGGGCAAGGACACTTACATATTTTAGACAGGGAGCAAGAGGGTGACACAGTGTGGGGTGTAATGGGTCTAGTGCAGTAGAAAGGGGTGAAGCTGAAGTCAGAGGAACCAGCCCGGATCTGAGGAAGGCCTCAAGTACGGAAGAGGCAGAAGGAAGTCAGATGTGGGGTAGCTACAGAGATCCTCAGGAAGGTGGCTGATAAACATTGAAGATGAGTAAGAAAGGGGAGAGAGGTAGCATTAGAATATTGGCTTTGAGGTGAGTGATCCTGGTAGAGATTAATGTTAACTACAGGACATGAAGAAAGAAACTTTGAGAGAGAAGAGAACACATTTTGAGATGTAATAGTTGATTTAGATGAAATCAGCTGGATAGTGTAGAAAGGAGGGCTTTTGACAGATGTGTAGGACAGTTGCACTGGGAGAATGGAAAACAGCAGCAGCTGGGAGAGATGCAAAGCTGGCTGAAGAAACAGAAGGACCAGAGTCACAGGTGATATAGTGTGTACATGGCTAAGCAGTCACTTTAGCTACTGCATCATAGCTGTTGTAATCCACATTTATACCACAACCAGATAAAATAAGAACGTAAGTTTCCTTGCACAGGTTAAGAGATACATTTTGGATTATATTGCTTTTAGACAAAGTATAGAGTCATCCTATAATCTTGAAGTTAACTGATTTTATAATCTTTGGTTATTATTTTTGATACATGAGTGATCTTTCTTTGGAGTGACAAACCTATGAATATTTATCAGAATAATTAACATGTTCTCCTTTCATAAGTTTTAAGAACAGTGGGATAAAATAGTAATGTTAGCAAAACATGATTCCGATAGGCATGACAGTCTAAAGAAAAAAGAAAAACACCTCTTCTTTGTGACAGAAGCCTTTTTAGAGGATATCGCTGGCATCTATGGCTGAGTATTTGACATTACTTTCTTCTCTGTGTGGTGCTAGGGACTGACCCTACGCCCTCAACCAGAGTTATATCCCAGCTCTTCAGTTATGAAGTGCAACATGCTACCATAACAAACTAACCAGAGTTACACTGAAAAACAAACCTTTTCTTGCCAATGTAAAATGGCAATTATCGCCAAGATGAAAATGCAGACACCAATAAGGGCTACTGCGGTCAGTAAGACAATGTTACTTGGTGTGAGATACAATTTGGCACTCCAGCTGTAGATAAAAACAGAACAATTAAAATTGTAAATTTTAACATGACAATATTAAACTGAGATGAGAAAGCAAAGCAGGTTATTAATTAATGAAACTTCACTGGTCCAATCATTCACTCATCTAGCAAAAGCAATTAAATTTAGATAATCTGAAGAATATTGACAATCCTAAAGTGTTTACTGTTTTCTCAGAACTGAACTAGAATTTTCTTTTTTATGTATGTTTTTTTGGGGTTAAATCCATATGTGCAGTGCCAACACTTTACAAATGAAGTATACCCTATGTCTCAGAAATAGAATTGTTGATATCTGATAGTATTTTTGAGTTTGATCTTCAGAATTATTAAGTAAACCTACCAATAGTACTTTAGATAATCAAAGATGTCTTTTGAAAAGAATATTTTGTTTTGTTGAATTTTGAAATTTTTAACTCAAAAACTCTGTACATCACATGATTTCACTAAGCCTATCGCATCTTGGCTTCTGATGCCCTTGTCCACACATGTAGTACAAATAAAACAATCGTATGTCTGAGTGGGCATTTATTGATGGCTGTGTAAAACTTGCTTCATTTCTGTGTTATGTTGGACATTTTAAATTATTACAGTAACTTGTATGTTGAGACTTACAAAGTCACTTAGCCTTTCTGTTACTGTCAACATATTGATAATGTCATCAGCATTAACATAATTAGGTCTTCTTTCTTCAAACACTATACATAGTCCATCCCTTGTAAACACTGCAAAGCCTAAATCTGGGGTCTTTATTACTAACTCTGTGGGCAGTTATGCACATATAGCTTCTTGTTCTCTTTGAAAACAGTAAGTGACTGTGTTCTCATTTTAAAAGATTAATAAGGGCAAGATCAATATAATGAACAGCAAGTAGCTATTGATTTAATTTGACAAAATTAAAATTTATTGATCCATAAGTTAGTATTTAGTCAGTAAATCTCAAACAAAAATCAATTAGGGTTTTTATTATGTACATAAATTTGAAAAGGACATTTCTTTGGAAGCAAGAGAAAAACATGAAAAATGTTCTGATTATGGAAGAAAGGTAAGTGACAGGATTTTTCAGAAATTTAAAAGAATAAACCTTAGGAAAATTAGTATTGTTGAGTACCTTACAATAGAAAGCAAAACTATGGGTTTTTTTTTTTTTTTTTCTTTTTGAGACAGTATCTTTGAAGTTGCTATCACCGTGCCTCAGCCTCTTGGTACGGGAATTACAGGTGTGAACTACTAAGCTCATAAAAAGCCAGTTTTCAATAAACCATTAAATTTCTGTTTATTTTGTGTATGTGCATGCATGGCTATGGAGGCAGAAGAGGGACTCAGATTCCCTGGGGTTGGTTGTGAGCCACCTGATGTGGGTGCGGGGAACTGAACAGCAATCCCTCTTTGTCACTGAACCATCTCTTTAACCCCTACACCTGTTTTTTCTTTTTTCTTTTTTCTTTTTTTTTTCAAAGATTAAGATATTTGTCAGTTAGGTTAAAAGAGGAAACAAAAAGTTAATCTTCAGTCGCCTACTCAGAGTTCTTACATATTCTGTCAGAGATATACATACATGAGCATATGTGTACAGATATCTCCTCTTAAAATCACAATATACATTTCTCCATTTGCTTGTTTCTTTTTCTCCCTTCCTGTGGCACATTGTTCTATGTCTTTGGCAGTAAGCATAAGTGAGTCACTACAGTGCACTCTATCACTACTACATTTTCTAGTTTTCCTGTTCCTCATTCAGATTTCATGGTTGTCAACTTCATGTAGAGAAAGATACGACTAATATACAACATTGGATCATTAAAACAAAACAGAATAAAACAAGAAACAGGGCCAGGTAGAGTGTTCCAGGTACTCAGGAGGCTGACATGGAGGGTTGCTGAAGTCCCAGAGTTTCAGATCAGCCTAGGCAACATTGTGAGACTTTATCACAAAACCAAAACCAAACCTCAACCCACTCCAACCCTGAGCCAGGCAAATAGCTATTTTTATTAATGTTGTCATGTTGTCTAGCAGGGTAGGCAAATCTGGTTTATGGCACTTATTAATTTTCATGGAGTAAATTCTCTTATAGTAACAGACTTTAATATGACTTTACTGAGTAAAGAAAGAAAAAGATGGGCCCAGTGAACTCATGAGATGGCACATACTGGTTCTAGCGTACCACTCAATGTAAAAATTCATTAAACACTGTAGCTAAAACAGTAGCTCACTGGTAGAATGCTTGCTTGGCATGTACAAGGCACTGGGTTCAACTCTAAGCACTGCAAAAAGCAAAACAAAACAAAAAAAAAAAAAACCAAAGTAAAACTAGTATTTACAACTAGTGAAAATTAAATATATGCAATATGTATAAATTATTAAATTAAGCTACATTTTTTCCTAAAAGGAATGAATTTATTCCTTATGAAATGCCAGGTGGTTAATAATTTGAAATTGACTATGTAAATTAGGTGTTGGGCACTCAGGAAAACAGAATAGGCAATAAATATGACAGTTTATAAAAAACACAACACTGGATATCTACCAAATTGAGTTCAATCAAGGATGGATATTACCTTCGAGGGACATTGTGAGGATATGGAATGACAATCAGCTGGGAATTTGGAATGATTGCTGTCCACTCTTGTTTCCTTATAGACTGAAAAGAGAATTTAAGAACACTTAATATATATAAGAATCAATTATTAGTCTAAATGTGAAAAACAACCCCAATCAACCAAACAAACAAAAAACACCAAACCTTCAAGTACTTTTAGGTTTGAAATCCTAGGTATGGATGATTATATTTGTGTGATCAATTAACTCACTCAACAAATACTTACTGGACAGTTTTAGCAGGCATTATTCAAATTGCTATGGGTAAATGCTGATTGGAGCTAAAATTCAAGTCAAGAGATGGCCAAATGACAGTATTCTATGTTTCTTATATATGTATAAGTACAATAATGCTACTTTTATGTTAACAGATATTACTTACCCACTAAGTGACAAAAATATTAAGAAATAGGCAAAGAAGCCACAAAGTTTAATGGAGAAAAAAAATACATAATAACTATATAGTAACACATCATGGTGCTCTCTAAGATACGCTTAGATAGGTCACCATGAACCAGTTCTTTAATTACTTAAAGGCAATAAAATACCTGAATTTAAATTCAGTTATATTCAAATGATTGGATTTAAATGTTTAAATGGTAAGTATTAAAACAGATTGTGAAAAAACTAAATGTTTACTTGCCTTCTCTCCAGATGGACGGGGAATACCAACAAAAAGATGGTCCAGGAAATTGGCACTTCGGCCTAAACCAAGTACATTGTAAGGTAGTTGAAGAGCTAAGTGTGCTGACTGGCTGAGCTGTCCCGCTAGATTTATGAAGACAAAACAAACAAACAAAAACACATTTGAAAACATTGCACTCATCAAGTCTTGAAGTCCTAAAATGTTTAATTCAGGTATAAAATGTAAGATGAACATTCAGTTAATTAATATTAATTGATTCATGGTTCACAAAATCTCCTTTGAGCTACAATTCCAATTCTATGAATAATATCCACATATAAAGTATAGTAAAATGGCTTTGAGACTATCCTAAGAGTACACCTCAGTGAGAACAATGTAATTTTAGGATACTTTAATCACTTGAAAAACACGATCCCCAAGGCAGTACTCTTGTTGGCAATGCTACACTTCCTGCTCTCTCATCTGCATATTCTGAAGACTGTGTATGAACAGTCATACAATATATGGTCTTTGTAACAGGCGTCTTTCACTTGACATGTTCTCAAAGTTCATGCTATAGCATATTTTACTACTTCATTAACTGCCAAAGAGCATGATATATTCTATATATCTATATATTCTATACTTTGTTTCATTAATTAATTTCATAATTATTAAGTAAATAATTAATAGACTGAGTAATTTACATGTTTGGCTATAAAATAATACTGCTATGAGGATTAATATACAATGATATGTATTTTCTGTATTTACTAGATTACATATCTAAGAATATGGATGATAATTAATTCCCTATTTCAAAGTAGGTACCAGAGATAATTTCTGGTGTTCCCAAAATGAAGCAATCATAAATGTTTCAGGTGTTAGATTTGGCAGTTATCCTGATGTAATCAATATGCATTATATACATGTATTGAAAGGTCACATTTAACCCATAAATATGTACAATTATACCTATCAATTAAATGCAGAGTATATGCATATAATGATAAAAGGTACCTGTCTCATTTCATAGTCATACAAATAATTGTATGATGGTTCAAAATTTTCCATATTCTAGTGCACACTTATTATCACCATCTTGATGGCTGGGAAGCAACATCTCTGATATCAGAGTTTAACTTGTATTGCCTACTAACAAATGATTCTGAACTTCTATCAAGTGCTTGCTGTTCATTTGTATATCTTCTCACTCTGTGAACTTAGCAGTTTATCTATTTCAAACTGCATTTTTGTCTTTTTTTTCCTGATCAGTGTAAGTAAAGGCTTGCTAGTTTTTAAATATTTCATAAGTATCCTTCTGTTTGTTGTTTCTCTACATTCTCTACTTCATTTATTTCCTTTATTTCCTGTCTTCTGATTAAGGTTAGTTGCTTTATGTTTTCAGTTTCTCAGGGTGAGAGATTACAATACTCATTCCAGACAGTTATTTCCCCGGGATCTCTATCCCAGGCTGGAATAGAGCTCCCTATGCATCAAGGATTATCTCGAATTATGCACCTTGTGCTTTTACCTCCAGAGTTCTAGGATTACAGGCACGAGCCACTGAAACAGGCCTCAGAGGTGCTGGGGTCAAACTCCGGGCCCCTCAAATGGCAGGCGGCTATCCTCCCAGCACAACTGTATCCCTACTCTTGTTCTTTTTACAATGTAGGCATTTGGAGCAACACATTTCTCTGTAACAAAGATTTGAGCTGCATTCCACAGATTTTAGTATGTTGCATTTTTTTGTTTCACATTTACCTCAGTGTATTTCCTCATTTCTTTGATTTTTAAAAAAAGTCCATTATTTATTCTGGAGTGTGTTATTTGAATTTCATGTATTTATAGATTTCTAAAATATTCTTGAGTTTTAAAAAAGACTTACTTATGAATATGTACATGTGCCTTTTGGTGGAGTGCTTCTTTCATTTACCTTTAAAATAATTACTGTAACAGAATTTATGTCTGTGCCCACATAAGTCAGAAGAGGGTGTCAGATCTCTGCACACTGCAGTTACAGACATTGTTGGCCACCATGAGTGTGCCAGGCCATCTGTCAGTACCTCAGTGTATTTTTTTCTTTTCCTTTTTTTTTTATATATATATATATTTTCAGTGTCACTATATTTAGTGGTTGCCCTGGGGATTTCAATTAACTGCACAGAAAAAAAAATCGAGTTCAGGTTAATAGTAATCAAATTCAACATTCATATAAAAATTTGCTTCTGAATACCGTTGATCTGATTTGTATGGATTTAAATTGCTGTCTATATCAATCTTAAAGGGATCTATTTAGTGTTCAAGAGTTCTACCAGTGTGATTAATTCTGTTTTGGTTTATGGGAGCATATCTAGGGTACTTCATATTGAAGGATAGTTTATCTATCTTTGGTTGATAGTTAGTTTCCTTTTCTGATGGGGGATGTCCTTCTGTATGCTGTGAATGTATGTTTCTCTTATTGGTTTAATAAAATGCTGACTGGTCAGTAGCCAGGCAGGAAGTATATTGGCAGGGCTACCAGACTAGGAGAATTCTGGGAAAAGACAAGCGTGAGCACCAGAGAGACGTCATGTAGCCACTGAAGGAGTAACATGCTGGAACATTACGGGCAAGCCACAGCCTAGTGGCAATGCACAGTTTAACAGAAATGGGTTAATAATTAACAGGGAGATCGCCAATAGGATGCCTGAGCCATCAGCTAAACAGTTTATGATTAATATAAGCCTCTATGTGATTATTTGGGACTTCACAGCTGTGGGATCAGGTGGGACAGAACCTCTGCCAACTCCTTTCAGCATATATAATGTATTATCCACTACCTCCTTGCCTACAGATGATGTGATAGGTTACTTTTTTGTTTTGTTTTCAAGAACATTTCTTTAGAGTATGTCTGAGTATAGGTCTTTGGGTTTATCCTATTTGGGGTTTGCAGATCTTCTTGGATGTGTGTATTAACATTTGTCATAAAATTTGGGTGGTTTTAGCAATGACTTACTTATACATTATTTCTGCGTTCTCCATCCTAAAATTCATATTATCATTATGTTGATATACTTAGTGGTGCCTCAACAGGTCTCTGAGACAGGGGCTGACACTTTTCTTTTTTCTATGACTTAAGACTAGATACCTTCTGATGGAAGCAGAAGCTGAGAGTCACAGCTAATCTGAACTCCTGGAATCCTGTTGTAGAGGGAGGAGTGATGAGCAAAGGGGTCAAGACCATGCTGGGGAAACCCACAGAAATAGCTGACCTGAGCAGGTAGGAGCTCATGGACTCCAGACCGACAGCTGGGGAATCTGCCTAAGTCCAAACCAGACCCCCTGAATGTGGGTGTCAGGAGGCTTGGACAGTCTATGGAGCTGCTGGCAGTAGAACCAGTATTTATCCCTAGTGCACGAATGGGCTTTGGGAACCCATTCCCCATGGAGGGATACTTTCTCAGCCTAGATACACAGGGGAGGGCCTAGGCCCTGCCACAAATGACAGACTTTGATGATCCCCAATGGGAGGCTTCACCTTCTCTGAGAAGTGGATGGGGGAATGGGATGGGACATGGTGGGGGAATGGGAAGGCAGGAGGGATATATGTAAAAAAAGATTGCTTTTAATTTAAATAAAAACTAATAAAAAGGACTAGATACCTTCAACTGATATATATTCAAGGCTTCAGATTATTTTCCTAGTTTAAACATTACAGAGCCATCTACTAATATTTTCAAACACTGTACTTTCTAACTATAGAATTACTACTTGATTTTTTTTTTTTTTTTGGTAGATCTGAGGCCTGCACTGAAAGATGCATGTGTGCTGGGAGTTAACTATTACTGGGCTGCATTTCTACCTCTATCTGAGTAATGAGATAGCTGATTTACAGTTTGTATCTACTAAATCCATTATCTGGCCCCTTAGACACATTTCCTTTTTTGGTATGTATATATGGTACATTTCTGTCTCTCTATATGGCCTGTAAATTTTGTTTGTAAATGAACTTTTTAGGAAACACAACAACTAAAATGTGTATTTGGACCTCCCTCCAAAATGTTAGTTGTTTTTGCTGTTACTGTTGTTTGTTTAGTGGCCTATTTGGTACTGCATTTGCTGTGACAAAATACCCAGCAAAACAACTTATAAGAGTGTACTTTTACATAGATGTAAAAATTCTCAGTAATTAATCATATACCATGATCAAGCTGGTTTCTTTCCTAATATTGCTTCAACATATGCAAGCCAGTAAGTACAATATAGCATATAAATAGACCGAAGGACAGAAAATACAATGGCTACAAAAAAGGTCTCTGACAATGCTTAATATCCCTTCATAATAAAACCGTGAAGAAAGTAAGGGATAAAAGGAACACGTCTCAACATAATAAAAGGTTACATGTGACAAATCTGTAGCTATAATTATTTGGAAAATTGAAGACCATTTCCTCTAAAAGTCAGAAAGACAGTATTCCCTCTCTTCACTATTATTCAGTAAAGTACTCTGGAAGTCTTAGGGTAAAAGAGGGTTACAAACAGTAGGCAATTTATTTCTTTTGCAGATGTTATGATCTTGTACTTCAAAGACCCTAAAGACCCCCCCAAAACCCCTTAGACTTGTAAACATAGCAAAGTGGCAGAATGCAAAAGCAACATATAGTAGAAGGTGTCTATATAAATGATAAACTTGCTGGGGAAGAAATCAAGGTTCACAATAGATTTTAAAAGTATCCAGAATAATTCTAAGGATGTAAAACACGTCTAAAAAGTAAACTTTTTAAGACACTTAAAAAAAAAAAAAAGAAAGAAATAGGAAGATGAAAATGCATCCAAAACTCATGGGATGTCAAAATTAGTATTATGACATTGGCTATATTATCAAAAATGATACATATTCAATGCAGTGCCCATCAAAATCCCCATGGCATTCTTCACAGTACTAGAAAAGCAATCCTAAATTTCATAGAGAAGCAGATAAGATTCCAAACAGCCAAGGCCATCTTTAGCTGAACAATTAATACTACAGATATCTCAGATTACCTGGTCTCAAATTAGAGAGCCACAGTAACAGAATCAGCATGGATCTGGTACCAAAACAGACAGGTTGACCAACAGAATAGGAATAAGACCACACAGCTTGTAAAGGAGTAAAAATAAC